CTTCCTTTACTATTTCATCAACAGGCTCATCCTTTTCATTTTCTATTATCTCTAATATTTCTTTATCAATAAGCCCGTCTTCAATCTCATCGTCAATATGAATATAATCATCCGCAGTAAGATAATCATTTCCTGGTAAGCGAATAATTAATTCTTCAAGTTCCTGTATTTCGTTTCCACTTAAAATGATAAATAATATTTTTAATTTATATTTTTTTTTATCATAAATAATAAAATATTAACATACTTATCAGGAATCAGAATTGGAATTGAAAGACTTATTTCTTATGAAAGAATATTAATCTTTCGCCAATAATTTGCAATTATCTCTGGTGATACCATAAACTAAGCCTCTGCTGCATTAAGTAAAGCATCGTAAATATTATAATCTGCAAGTTCTTATACTACATTATTTTGTAAATCATCATAAGCATTAATTCAATTTTTAATAAAGAGATGCTTGTAGTGACACTTAAATAAATGAATAATTCTGGCATCACAAGGTTGAAGAGCTATAGTAGTATTTAGTGGAAGAAATTCAACTTGTATATTATCTAACTTTGCTTGAGTTTCATCAAGAATAATGTGAATAGATGCATTATTAACTAAAAGAATGATTTTTTGATTTTTTTGTTTTATTTGATTATTGAGTATAAGAAGAACCTCATTAAAGATACTAACTTACATCCAGGCTTTTTTATTTCAGAAATAATAAACAGGAAGATTTTTATAATTAAGATTTTTCATTGCACGAGGTGATTTATATTGGTAAATAAAGGTAAGATTTATTGTTTCAGTACCGATTAAATTTGTAGCATAAAGTATTATAACGCATGTCTTTTCTTTTTTATGTCTAGCTACTTTAGAATGAGCTAAAGTCGAGAAGGTTCCATTTTCCAAAAAAGACCAGTTTCATCAGCATTCTAAATATCTTCAGGTCGATAAGGTCTAAGTAGCTATTGTAACATAATTTTATCATTTTCTGGTGATTCAGCAGAAGGAGCACTTGCTGATTCACCTTGCTTTTTAAATTGTCGAAATCTATGCCATTTTTTAAATCCAGTGAGCCAACCATCTGACTGGTTAAAATCATCAATATGAAAATTATTAGCAAAAAACTGTGCTTTCATTTTAAGAATGTGACCGTCGATATCTTGATTTGACATAAGAGCGTTATCAATCCAAAGACTAAGAGCACTTTCAAGTTGTGGTCATTTGGGATTATGAAATTTTTTTATATTTCCTTGCTCTTCAGTTGTAATAGAAAGCCAACGCTCTTTTTTTCTTAAAATATCTGTAATTGTTGACTTTCCAATATTAAATTTATTGGCAAGTTCTACATTGTTAATATTTGAATTTTTTTCCTTAATTTCGCAAATTTCTTGTTTATATGCAGCTGAAAGATTAACACGCTTTCTTTTTAACATGAAATCTAAGTTTTTAAAAGTAAAAATATGGCAGAGTGAAATTTTCAGTAGGCAAATGTTTTATATTTGTCAGAAATAACGTCAAATAATTAATTAAACTTTGATAATCATAAGCCTCTTTTTTGCTGCGACAACTTATTAAATAATCAATTTTTAATGAATTTAATTGTAATTTATTGATGATCAATTTTTATTTGGTATATAAAGTATAATAATAATAATAGTGGGCTGGTTAAATTTAGTTTGGATGCGATATATAAAAATTTATTAAGTTATTTCGTTAAAACCAGAACTGATAATTATAGAAAATTCAGTTCTGATATATTTGATTTGTTATAGCCAGATTTTGGTATATATAGGTTCATTATAAACAGAGTCGACTGTATCCATTCTTGCTAAAATGGCAAGAATTCATTTAGCTATTTTTGCAACATCAATACTATCAGAAAGGTTATTTTCTGATGCAAGTAATTTACTTTCAGCAAAAAGATCTAGAATAAATTCAGAACTTTTTCAACATATAATGTTTTTAAAAAGAAGTTAAAAGTATTTATAAATAATTATTTATATTTTAAATCAATCATTTGTATAATTTATTATAAATAAATTATTATTTTATTAGAATATTATAAAACTTATTGTAAACCTAAACTCATAATTTTAAAGATTTCTATTTTTTAAAAAAGAAGCAAAAGTTCTAAATAAAAAATAAATAAATAAAATTTTTCCTTTCCAAAATTTAAGCTAAAATCCAGATTCAGAAAAGTATTCCAAAGAAAAAAAGAAAAGAAATATAAATGATTTTTAAAAATAAATAAATGAAAAATAAAAACACATCCTTCTAATTTACCTTTTATAGCCTAAGTCAAAATCCAGGTCCAGAAAGGCATTTCCTAAAGAAAATAAGTAAAAAAACTGGTAATAATATTTTAAAAACAAAAAAGAAAACAAAAAACCCACTATAACTTACATTTATAACCCAAGCTAAAATTCAGATTCAGAAAAGCATTCCCTAAAGAAAAGACGCAAAAGGAACATTAATAGTATTCTAAAAATAAAGAAGAAACAAAAATAATATCCCTATACCACTACTTTTATAGTTCAAGTCAAAATCCAGATCCAGGAAAGCGTTTCCTAAAAAAAAGAAAGAAAAGAAATATTAGTAACATTTTAAAAAAAAACTGAATTTAATCCTATTCCAACATATCTTTTAATCAAAGTCATTCAAGTAAATTCCAAAGTTTAAGTCCATGTTCATATCTGATTTTAAAGAAAAAAAGGTAAGTTTTTTTTTTAAAAATCAGAAAAATTTTTTTATGAAATTATGGTAGTAATACGTTATCACTAACTTATTACCGTAACATAATTTATTAGATGAAAATTGATAATAATATAACATAGTGAGCTTAAATTTGATTAGTTGATCTTTAAAATGATCATCACATAATAAATTCCTATTAAAATGACAATCATCTAACTTTAAATGGATTGGTAGCTACATAAATGAATTGGCAAAAGGTGTGACAAAAAAAATTCTAAAATATACCTTCTGTTTTATATACTGTTAAAATAATTTAAGAAATGGTAAGATAATTCAGAAACTATCTAAGAAGTAATTATTTTATTCTGTTACAACAGATATAAAGAAAAAAAGAAATACAAAACAAAATGTTTACACAAGAAATCCATCATGAAGATCCAGTCCTCTTTAGTGAGAAAAAAGGAAAAAGAAAGACTCAACATTGTGATTTAGAGGGTCAGAAGAATGTCGTCTGTGATTATGAATAGTATAACATATCTATTGTATCTGATAAAGTAATGATACCAAGTTTAAGTCAATATTTGGACTTGGTTGATAAGGTTTTATGCTGAAAACATTATAATAAATTAATAGTAAATACAAAAAAATCTAAAGCTAACAATATACTGTATGTTCACATCCAAAGCATCAGATCTATATTTTTACAGTTCAATATGATACAGAAATGAAGAATATCAAAAAGGCTTCAGAATGATTGATCAAATTCTTTGAACTACCACAAGAAGCATGGATGTGTCACCATTGTTTATATAAAACTGATAATAATTCAAAATATATTAACTCATCTAATTATCCACCACCATCAGAAAGAATTTTAAAAGAGAAAATAATAAAATTTCAAGGTAAATCATATGTTTTACGAAATGATATTATTTACTCTCAATCTAAATTTCAGGAACTGAAGTCTGCATATCATGAAGTATGTGTAGAGCTTGACAAAGCAAAGTTAGATAAGCAAATAATATTTTATTTATTATTGAGTTCTCGATTGTTTTATTAACAATTATTATAACGGATTAGCAGATTAACATATAAAACTTAAATTATATTATATAATAATTATCTTTTAGAGTTGATTCCTCTCAGTAAAAAAATTAAATTAATGGTAGGAGTGTTATATACAAGGTAATGTATGTATAATAAAAGACCCATTCTCAATCTAAAAGAGTTCAAGAAAATGCTTGAGAAAGCTGAACTGTTATTAAAAGGCTTTTTTAATCAATTAGTATTCAGAACTAACCTGCAATCCAAGAACCATAAGACTAATGAGAAAAATAAGAAAAGATTAGTTTTGTTTTACTATTTTCTAGCAGGTCTCAATAATAAGTTTATTAATGGATTTAAGGTAGATGTTAGGTTTTACTAGATATATCTGAAACATCTTTATCAGCAATAGATACCTTAGCTGATGCAGGTTTAATGGTAAGATGTGAAACCATTGCAAAGCAGAAAATTCAGCATATAGAAGCTCATACAGTAATGGTGTAAAGGTTTTTATCAGAAAATGTAAGTATTAAACATTTATTTTTTTTTTAAATTGGTAACTAATCTGACTATATATATGTAATTTTTTAACAAATTGAAAGCTTAGTTATTCTTAATGTGAATGATTTTCATAATATTCACAAATATCATTATAATAATATAACAACTACACATGAAGTCTCCTATTTTATTACAATACTCTTGAAAGCCTTACCAGAAATGTCATATGTTCTATTTAATAATCTTAATCAAGAAAAAAGCATCTATAATGAAAAGGATGTTGATTCAGATATTGTTATAAAGAATGCATATTCATCTTTCTTTTCTTATTTATGATTAAGTTATGTAAGACAAAAGCAAACATTTGACAACTTAATATCTACACCAGAAACCTATGACGAGCAAGTTGAACATCTCTTAATTTATAGCTACAATGATAGAATTTAACAACATCAGACTGATTGAAGCATGGAAAACATGAAACTTGTTGATCTAAAAGAAGGTTCTCTTCATTTGACTGAAGACTATGTAAATACTTTTAGATGCTTGATAAATACATCTGAAGTAGGAACTTACCATATTTTGCAGGTCACAGTATTCTTCTATGCATAGTACCCTATATAAATTTTTTTTTTGGATTTATTAAATACTCAGATATTTTATATGGAAATGTTCAGATTTTAACCTTCAAAATTTATAAAATATCTGGGATATCTTTATAAATTTGATTGGCTGATAAAAAAATTAACGACGTTATTTATAATATATATTTTTTAAGGATCAAAAATATTTTTTTAGCTTTAACGTAAAGCTTCTGATATACATTGATGAATTTATTATTATGTGATATTACTAAAATATAATACAGTCCATTAATTCTTTCAATGTAGGATAAAACTGCCGGCCGAAACTATAAATCCCCGAAACTCCAGAACTCCGAAATTAATTTCAGTGGTTTTGAAGATGAGATAACATTTTAACCTTAACCCGAAATATGTTTCGGAGTTTCGGAGGTATATTTATTAATAAATTATATAAGTTTTGGGTAAATTAATAATTAGTTTTGACAGTCAAATTTTGATTGGCTATTTTAAAATCATATGATTTTT